ATAGCATAGAAGGGCAGAGCTTGCAACTCCATCATCCCCTTCTCCATTCAGCAAAAGGGTTTTCACAAACCAATTTTGATTCTTACACCGTGGAGGACTATTTTGAGCTCAAAGAAGCCAAAGGCTGGCTCACAATTTTTATGCAAGCTTGGCCCCTCCAGCCAACAAATTTTTGCCAAGAATTCTGAAGTGTCTGTTTAGAGTTCTGATCCAACATAATCTGTATCCTTCAAGAGATGCTTCCACATTTTTCTTTGTTCTTTTACACAACTTTCGATGTATTAAAAGTTTAGATTTTTCTTAGGAAAGCTTTGTCAGACTTGCAAACTCCATAAATTTCAAAAAATAAAATTGAAGTAAAGCCTTAAAAGTGCCCCAATGACGTAGTTTTGATTATTATTCTTTTTGAAAAATGTAACTTGTAAGAGTGGAAAATCTGAACAAAACTTCTCTGTAAGCTAATTTAACATCTATACATGAAAACGACTAGTATAGAGAGTTTGGTACCAAAAAGAAAAGCCATATGTGAGAAGGCAGACCTTCAACTAAAACTGAAATCTCTAATAGGACGGTTCACGTCAGGCTTTTTAGCCGCTTTGTTGGTCAGCTGTTTTGCTGGTCTGGTAAAATTTTACTGTAAATTTGATTGCTTGCACAAAAAAAAACTTGCTGGTTGGTTGCTGCTCATACTAATCTCTCTTAAACTATTTGCTAAAATTTGATCCCCCCAAGTTCCACTCAGGCTCAACTCTCAACTTCTTTCAACTTGCGGTATCACCGATCAGCCACAAACCACATCAAAAAATCACGCCAGAACTAACCAGCCTACCTCAAAGCAACTGCTCTTGTAAGTCATGAGTTTGAGATTCAGGGATCTAACAGCTCAACTTACCTTGTTCACAACATTCTACAATCTCAGGCTATGGATAATGTGTCATTGACCATCAATTGCTTGTTGGGGGAAGCATTGCCTTCGACCAGCCAAACTTGTCAGCCAAAGCCCAAACGTTCTCATCGCACCAATGCTCAAATGAAGGCACATCGTACAGAAAAAGAAAAGCTCAAAACGCCAAGGGAGGAACTCAAGGCGGACCGCAAGCGCCTTGCACAGGAAGAAAAAAATCAAGCAAGAAAATCAACTGGCACCGGCTCCAAATCTTCGAAGAATGAAGACTGCGGCAAGAATTTTGACCATAAGGATTTCGAAAACATATGTAGTTATCTCAAGACACCTGGACACTACACTGATCTGTTCGGCGATGGCCAAAAGACTAGTGTAGGCCAAGCAAAGTTGACAAAAGCAAAGGCCTTTGATGTATTTGCTGTGTGGATGAACAGTCTCAATCCAGATCTCCAACTGAGTGGTCGCCGACTTCAACAACGTCTCACTTCTTACAAGCAGAAGTATATCAAATCGAAAAACTTTGAAGAGAAAACCGGCGCCGGGGTGCTTGACGAGCATGGTCCTCAGACTCTAGCTGAAATTCTCGAAGACATGTGCCCATGTCATGATCGTATTGATGCAATCTTCCGAGACAAGCCAAACGTCACTCCGATGCATGAATTTGACCATTCACTTGCCTCGGCCACATTGCTGCCTAACGAAGAACTCACCGACGGAGAGTCTAGTGGAAGTTCATCCTCTCATGGTCTGATCGGTGGCTTGAATTACAATCCAATCTTGGAGGATTTGGATGTTGAAATGTTATCGCCGACTTCTGCAGTATCAACGACTCATGCGGTTATCAACGACTCCTGCGAGTATCAACAACTCCTGCGGTATGGACGACTCCCTGCGGTATCAAACAATCCAGTGGTTCCTGCAATCCAATCTGATTCGCCTGCGATACAATCCGATCCGATTCCTGAAAATGATCCAATTTCCGATTCAGCTACCACCCACCACAATCAGCCCGCTGTACCAATTCCATCGGGGCTCCACTCAAACTTTGGTGGCCCCTACCAATGCAGCTTTGGAAGTGCTACGTCAAAGGGCTAGTAACGCTCCGGAGCCAAAATCCAAACCAAATCTTGTGACTTCTTTTACTCAGGGAAACGATTGAAAATTTGATATGTTAGAAAAACAAATTACGATTGATCAACAACGATGGAATCATCAGGTTGCACAATCAAAGCTAGAAGAAAGCCGAGCCGACAGGAAGGAGAAAAGGGAGGTGGATCTTGAGGACAGGCGATTAAAGTTTGAGGAGGAGCAATTCAATCGACTTCAAAAACAAGAAGAAGCAAGAGTCTCAGGGTTGAAAGAGGTAGAAGTCGAAAAGAAACAGATGGTCAACAAGATGCTCCAAGAAGGCAGATCACCAAATGAGATCACTGCCTTAGTGCGCCTGATTTATGGATAGGCTAGTTTTATTTCGTCTTCAAATCCTCTACACTTGACCACTTGCCCAAATCCCCATTCATCAATTTATTAAAAAAAATTCATCACCTGTTATTGTTAAATACATGATTATCTCTCTCCTGATATTTAAAAATTCTCATTCATTTTTAATTGTAAATACACGATTATAGCCTTATGGGCACTAAAAAGGTAAAACTCCTAATTCATAGTTAAATGAAACACATTCACGGGTTAATTGAGAGCAGAAAGCTTCGTCGGTAGCAGCAGGAATTTGATCATCATCGCTGGATTCAGCTGAAGGGTCAAGGTTTTGGTCTTCAGGTGCCAACTCGGTCCATTGATCACCAAGTGTTGCTAAAAGGTTATGGAGGATGATACAGCTATAAAACCAGGCAAGATATTGCCTCATATGACCCCGATTATACAGATGCAATGGCATCTCCCGCAAAGAAGCCCATTGAGACTTGAGGATACCAATTGTATGTTTGTTTCTCACTCGAGCCTTGGCCAGACAGTAGTTGAAATCGGTATTGATGAGGACCTCTGTCGCAGGTGCCTTATGTAGAGACAGACAAAATGGAGATGTGTCTGGTGAGAGTTGAACTCACGACCTCAGCTAAGCTGAGACACATACTAGAGTGCTGCCTTTACCAACTAGGCTACAGACGCTTGTGACTGCCAGGGTTGTTGGGTGGTAGTGCTCATGGTTCGACATGTAGTGATACATCATGGTAGCAGACTATCAGACACCTCAACACCCCCCCTTGCTACATGATGTGGAAGTGGGAATGAGACCCAACAAATCATAATCAGAGTGGGAATTGAACCCGTGACCTTAGGTAGTCTTACAGGGGAAGTTTTGGTCTTACAAGTAAGCATTCACACCTCCATCTGGTCTCTATTGTAAGCGGGTTGCACTGAGGTAGGCTCTGGGCTCATAACCTGTAGAGACAGACAAAATGGAGATGTGTCTGGTGAGAGTTGAACTCACGACCTCAGCTAAGCTGAGACACATACTAGAGTGCTGCCTTTACCAACTAGGCTACAGACGCTTGTGACTGCCAGGGTTGTTGGGTGGTAGTGCTCATGGTTCGACATGTAGTGATACATCATGGTAGCAGACTATCAGACACCTCAACACTCCGTATTCGGAGGCGGGTCGCTTCTGTTCCTCCCCGTTGTTTCTGGGATCTGAGCCGCTGGTTCTTTGCGGGTCAGAGTAGTCATTTGTAGACTCTCCACTCTGGCTTGAAATTCCTTGCCGCTGCGAGGTCTTGTCGGAGCTGGGAGGGGACCTTGCAATTCTGGATGTTTAGATCTAGTAGATTTAGTCATCGTATCAAATAGTTAGTAAGTAAAAGAGGTCGTAAGGTTTTTACGAAAAAAAATGTAGGTTCTTTTTCGGGATACTTACTTTCAGTTGTCTGACTAACGGAACCGTTGTCAGTATCTACCGAGGGAGTAGGACTGGCGCGTTCTTGTCTGATGACGCCTGCCTCAAAGGTGGACACTAAAAGAGATATGGTATGAGAAGATATAAGAATCAGCTTCTTTTAATCGGATAGGGGTAAGGTACCAATGAAAAAAGGGGAATCGTTAGGAATCTGACTTTTTTCAAGGTATCTTTTTTGACGGAGCTGTTGATTTTTAGCTCGGATATCTCTAAGAAAGTTCCGGAACCGCAATTGTTCTTCAAGGTCTTCTTCTTGATGAACGTGAGCGTGGTAGGTAGCGAGGAGAAGCTGTTCCTCTTCGGATAATCTTTCCCAAGGGGTAGGTGTATAGTTACGATCTGCTTCTTCTTTCCGCAACCTAAGGATAACAAGATAACGCTGGATTAATTCGGCGTTCTCTTGCAAATTCACTGGCGATGAGAAAAAGAGTATCGAAAAATGGAATTAATTTTTATTGGTTTTGAAGTAAGAGTGATAAAGGATTCGAGAGATAGGTATTTTTTAATGGGTTTGGTATTTTATTTTGTAGAAGAAATAGATATGTATATATTTTTTTTATGGATTATTTATTTTTCTATAAAGGAAAGATGACCGTGAAAAAAATGAGGATAATTTTTTGTGGGTTTGATTACTTTTTGAGAAAAAAATAAGGAATAAATTCCAGGTGGCTTATTTTATTAAAAAGGGTATTTTTAATAAAATTTTCCCGGCCAGACCCCCAATTGTCAGCCTACGTGATGCCAAGATGTAAAATCTTCTAGCTACACGTGGTGCAAAAGTAAACAAAAAGCTTATAGATTTTTGGTTTTAATTTTAAAGGAATAAATTCCAATAAAATAAGGGAATTTATGGGTTTAATTAATAGGAAAAAATGGCCAATTTATATTAATAAAATTAATATAAATAAAACCAGAGGGGCCTGATGAATCAGGGGTGGTTTAATCCCTCTAAGGTATCGTGCAAAAGCAGAGGATTTAGGTACCTGGAACACTGGGGCCTGTGAACAGGTGTGGTTTAAATCCCAGGAAGAATTTAAGGGGAAAATCTCAAGAAAAAGGGTTATTACTTACTAGTAATAATCCTAAGGGGTCTTGAGGATCTTCAAAGTTGAAACAGGACAGTTGGGAGCGCTCAGAAAGGTTGATTTTGGGTGCTGGGTGATAACTGTGGAGTTTCTTGAGGTATCTTGAGGCTTAATAACAGTAAAAATAGTAATAACTAGGCTAATTACAAGTGTAGGGGACTTGTAAATGGTAAGTAAATTTCTATATGGTATTGTAAAGCTGGGGGATCATTATTTGGGCGGTCAGAAGGCCCTTTAAATACCTGTGGAAGGCCTCAGGAGTTGCTCAGGGGAGCTTAGTAGGACTTGGGAGCGCTTTTTGGCCCATTTTAGCCCACTTAGTGACGTAACAAGGGCTGAAACCTTGGGGATAATATTCTAGAAGCTCCAAGGGGTCATGCACAAATTTATTTGAACCAAGAATATACCTTGGGAACCTGTGGGCAAGGGCTAGTCTGCTACGTGGTGTCATTTCCAAGGAAATGTGCCACAGAATATGCCAGAACTGGTTTCTGGGGCTTGTTACACGTGCTACAAACTGGAAGATGGAATATTCAGAGTTACTGTAGTGTATTCATGAATATTCTAGCTTGTTTATATTTTTATTACACGTGTGGGGGCTTTGTTGACACGTGCACAGTGAGTTTCTGGGGCTTTGTGGCCCATTTCCTTGGATACTGGTAACCCAGAGGGGGTTATGCATGTATCCAAGGCGGGTATGCGTACCTAGCATGCGCGGGGGCTTAAGCCTAGGGCTCAATTGTAGTCAGGCGCGCCTGTCAACAGTGCGCAGCATGACTACGCGGCACGCGGGCTTGGATATAGTACATGCCACGCTGGTCTATCTTCTAAACTATACACAACACTCCAAATCTGAGACAAGATTTGGAGTATATGCATATTGTTATGTACAATGCATAATTATTCAGGTGCCCGTGATCCATGGGTACCTGTTAATTCTTCAAGTGAGTATTACAGGATGAAGGGGGTACAATTAGGGGTACCTTTGGCTGAGGTACCCTAGGTTAAATTTTACGTAGATTCAGAATTTGTAATAATAATTAAGGTTTTCTTTATTCTTTCTAAGTTATTTATATATTTTAAGTGTTTTTATTATTGTTAACATAAGTAAATTAGTTTCTTTTACTTATGTAATATTTTTACTTTATTCTTAGATTTTTTATGTAATTTTATTTTTATTTTGCTATGACAGGTTGTCTCTGCCATAGTAGCAAGCTGACAACCGGACATATCGCGACACCCAGCCCAATTGCAAGAGTGTTTGGTATTGCATGTACACCCTTATCCGGTCAACAGTCTTGCAGTTGCTGGATGCCATCCCAATCAATCCAAGCAATCAGATCCAAAAGACTGAGTTGATTTTGGCAATAGCGCAGGATTTCTTTGTTCAGTGGACTTCAATGACTCAGGCAAAGCTGCCATGGATTATTCCGCGCGGTAAGAAAGCTCCGCCCCCTCCTACCGGTAGTATTGGTCTTGCCATGCACAGACAATTTTTCTATATAAAGATATCCTCCAAACACCTGCCACTGGCTTCGATTTCCCAATTTCTCCCAAGCTCATCTGTACCCTCCATCTTTACTTTTTTTTTGATTGTCCAATACATTCTATTCACAACTCATAACGCTTCCGTTGTGTTGTTTCCAAAGCCTCAGCCCCATCGAACTGTTCCTAACCCTGGTTGTGCGCTGTAGCGTACTCCGATTTTGCGCTGTTTTGAAGCCCCTTTTTGCGCTATTAGAACCCCCCTCATCTGCGCTATTTCCAATTCCTCGCTCAGGAGAAAACAGTGCCACAAATCCCTTTCACTTTGGTGCTGCCTATGCAACTTCCAAATCTCATTATATCCTACATCGTCCTATTACTCTCCATCAATCATTTGAACTCCAGTCAACTTTTGAAGCTCTCACTCAGCCCTCAACTCTCCCACACGACTCCCACTTTCCTTGGTACGTGCCATGCCGCCAAAGAAATCAAAGAAGTCAGCTGGTTGTAGTAAGTATCCCACTTTTTCTGTCTGGTGGAGGTCAACAAGGTACCTGACCTTTACCCATTGTAGCTCAAACTGTAACTAAGGGTGGAAAGCAACCAGTAGGGCGCCCTAGAAAGCCCAGGGACACAAAAGGTGTCATTATCAGGGACTCCAAATCGGTGACATCTAATAATACCCAAACAGCTGGAAGTTCAACTGGAGGAGAAAGAAGTCGCCTTCCCAAATCAAAGGCCAATGAAGCCGAGCTCGACTAGAAAATGAGTCTGCCGCCTCAGGACACAAGCAGATGCGCACAGATTCTACCAACGGTGCATCAGTTCCCTCCCCCAATCCACAAGACTCCAGGTCTCCCAAACGACCTCGTATAGACTCCACTCAAGATGGTCATATTGAGCTCCTCCAAGAAGAAGTTTGCCTCCTGAAAGAAAAAATAACCTCTGCCAAAAACCGGTTCAATCATCTGAAAGGAATTGTTGAGGCACTACGAGATGAGGTTGCTGGCTTGGCATCCCTCAAAGTTGACATGGACCAAGCCACCCGTCTAATTCAAGCAGAGCTTACTAAAGCTCGACTCCCAGAACTTGTTCACTCCCTGGATCAACAAATGTTGATTGGAACCTCTAGACTATCAGCCATTGGTACACCTGGATTGACCAAAGCGCATCCTTCTCAAGCCTCACTTGTAGAACTTCTCCATTCAATCAACCATCAAATCATCCTCCCCAATCACTGTGTTGACATTGGTGACTCAATCAATAATCTATTTGAATCATACCTATCCTCTTATTCAAACTGGGATGCAGACCTTCAATCCAACATAGTGAATTGGCCTTTCATTCCTGCAAAACAAAAAATCTGACCCAAAATTTTGGCGAGGCAGCTTTTGGACAAAGGTATGTTCTCGCTTTGATCTTCCTTTATTTCTTTAACATCCTCTCACTTGGATTTTCATCCTGTAGATCTGGGCATCATGAAGTTGAGTTTAGATGCCAACCTACTTCATCCGGCAATCAACTCTTCTTTTTTTGATCACTTCCATGACAATAATGATCTGCCTGTCTCACACGCTTGACTGTGCCGCACACTTCAGTACGTGGCCAAGGGGTCATCTGAAAACCCTCCCACTCACTTCAACCAGAAATGGCCCCAAATCATTTGGGATTCCATCGTTCATCTCAATGCGGCCATCAACAAGGATCAAACCAATATGAACTCAACTAAATTCTTTGACTTCTTTGGCAAAATCCGTGAAATTATCGTGATTCTTGCGGACATCAAATCTGGCACCGGCAACCTCATCACGCGACTCAGGAAGCGCCCCGTACATTATTTGGTGGTGTTCCTGGCAGGTGGGGTCAGTGGGCTTATGTGGGTGCCCACAACCAAGACTATTGCACCTGAATGTCTCATTGTTATGGTCAAGTACCTTGCGTGGTGCCTCTCTCAACCCAATCAACTTTCTTTGAAAATCGTCCCACACTGGCCGTGATCCCATCAGGCAATCCTTGATATTCTTCTGACACAAACATCAAACTCCAAATCACTGCTAGTGGTTGCATGTGGGATGGCCGCTGATTACATCGCGTTCTGGACCCTCCACTCAACCAACCCCATCCTATGGCCGCTATGGCGAACCAGTAAAGAAGCCAAGGAGATGCCAAATGAAGTCACGTCTCCCATGATGTATTTATTCAACGGTAAGGGTGACCTCCCCGCCAAGTTAGGTGAGGAAACCCCCACAAGCAACAAAGCTGGCAAGTGCCACTCCGATGATGACATCTCTCAGTCAAGTAATTCACCATCTGAGAATCTTGACACCAAACCAACTAGCAAACCTACTCAAAGTCCACCTCCCCACCCAACCAACTCAAACACAGATCAACTCATGCAAGCCATCCAAAAACTTCTTGATGAGACAGAACTCCCCCTTGCCAGTCCACTCATTGCACAACTGTGCTCGGTCAGCCCAACTGATGGATTGACAAATGAAGATTTGGACACAATGTTTTTTATGAATGTCAACTCTACAATGGATGCACTGTTTGGCATTGAAATGGGTACCACACACATAACTGGCGGTGAGGGTGGATTGAAATTAGTACTGTCTTGGTTGGATCGGGCCAGAGCACACCCCTCCTGGGCACCAGCGCATGATTGCTTACTTGATATCAAACTTGAGCGCATCTTGGATGCACTTAAAGATTATAATTGTTGATGTGTGCTATGCTTAATATTCTATCTTTACTTTCCATTTATTCATGTCTGTCTTTGCTTTCCTTTCTCTCCTTATGTTTCTGGCTGTTTTGTTCGGCCCAAGGCAAGATTGAACATAATATTATGAGATTGCACTTATTATGGTAAGTTGAAACCTCCCAGGCATGATTTTGAGTGTCCTCCTTTTGAACCTTGATTTGGATTTTGAATTTCCCTAGACCTAATATGCAATGAACCACACAACAGATCCCTGTAGCAGATCATTCATTTAACTGAAACACCTTTGGAGATGAATAAAATCTCACAGTTCCTCTGGGCTTAAAAATGAGCTGTATGGTTATTATGAAGTAGTGCTACATCTATTTTGGCAGATGTGAGTCAATTGAATTTACATGTGTTATTTTCTGCACCAGTATAAGCCCATATCTGATTCCATGGCTTGGTAATTTTGTTGAATCTCCAGGTGTTCATTCAATACAGTTGTTCTGGTCATACCCCTATGCCTGAAGTTCATCACATATAATACCAAAACAGTTTGAAGATCATGAGAATCATTCATCAACTATCTGGGCTTAAATCTACACTGTATGGCTATCATGGTAGATTGCGGCCACCTTTCTGGTAAAAGATATGAGTTGATTAACTTCACAATTAAGGTTTGTTATCAGGACCAGGGGAAGCAGATTTTTTTCCCCATGTTTCAGTAATAAAGAAAAGCAGCACCTCTAAGAAGGTTCACTTGATACCATCTTTCCACTCCCCTACAACATCCTCAGGATTATTGTATTGTGACCACTGCAGACAGTAGAAATATTAGCAGTTGACCTTCAATGATCCCAAAATCCTATGAGTGAGATGAGAAAAAGATCAGCCATCAAATTTCTAGGTATAAAAGTGCACTGTAGTTTTCATGAAATACCATTGCACCTGTCTTGGCATATAATTGGGGATAATTGTCCTTGAAATTGAGGGTATTTTTTGGACTTGACAAAGCAGAATGGATCTTCAAAGAGAGGTTATGTATTGAGTACATGTGTCAACATGCAGGAGTTTATTACATGTGGGAAGGTTCTAGTCTGATGTTGGTTTTGTGTAGTGGGGAGAAGAAATCTGAGTGGGGTATCATGGCGTTTGGGGATGTGGGTTGCTGGTGTTCTGGAGATGGGCATGTATGAGGAGAAGGCACCTATGAGGAGAAGGCATGTTGGCAACCAAGAAAGGAATGTTATGAGATGATATTTTGTGATTCTTTATCACCCAAAATCTTGTTAAATACCACTTATTGTGCTCACAGATGGAAACTTGTGCTATTTGGATGACATAAAGTAGTGTCACAGCCATTTGGGATGGTGATGGGGCAGGATGAACTAGACGAGTGAAGGGTATTTATTGTGTTGCCCTGGCCTAATGAATATATTTCCCAATGACCCATTGGGTCATCAGGACTGCCAAATGATCTGGAAATTGCCCCTTGATGCAAGATCTCCAACCTGCGTAAGATGATATTTTATGATTCCTTATCACCCAAAACCTTGGTCATTACCACTTATTCTGCTCACGGATGGAAACTTGCGCTATTTGGATGCTGTAAAGTAGTGTTGCATACGGAAGCCCACAGACGACAACAACCGCGCCATCGCGCCATCGTGCCATTCTACTTTTTTTTTTGCAAATTTCAAAAGTCAAAATCACACTTGTACATATTTGAAAAAAAAACTTTGTTCATGATGTCTCACACACAAATCAAAAATGCCAAAAAAAAAAATTGAGCCTCCAATATCCTCTGAATTAACACCCAACCCCAAAAAACCACCCATCCAAGGGTGTTTTTTTCATACCTCAAGCTGTCCCCATAGCATGTACACACTCCAATGACCCACATAGTCACTCGATGTTGCACAGGTATGCCAGACATCAATAAAATATCCTACAAAATCAGCTTGTTTTTTTGTATAATTCATACCAATGCCATCAAAACAACAAGATTCTAACGTTACAACATGTACATATTACAATAGCTATTTTTGTCATAGTTTCAATGTAAATTTCTACATGTAAGCCTGATACCAACTACCATGCCCATTCCCAAGTGAGATGTGAAGCAACATACTCATGTGAATGGCTTAGATTGCAATCCATCTCCTGTGTTTGTGACATACCACAAACATCCACCATCAACTCACAACCAATCTCGCCGGCAATCTCACAACCAATCTTGCCTGCCTTTCAAAAAATATACCAAAGCACTTTGCCTCTATCACATCCCAAAAACATTGCATTCTAGAAACATTAACCATGAACAACATCAACCACCACTCTAAAACAATTCCTGAAACTTCTAACCATGAGCCACAAACCTCTTTGAACGATATCGATGATTTAGCATCAGACCCAGATGGTGTACACACCACACATCATTCTGATTATTCTGGTTCCAATGATGAACACTTCTCATCACCAGGTGATACCGATTCAGAATACTCCGAAGTTGAAAATACAATACTTGATCTTTCTCCTAGAGATCAACGCATCAAGAATCTAGTGGAGCCTCTCTTTCGAAAAGGTCACAAAGGGCCAGAAATCATACGTATCCTCTCTCAAGATCATGGAATCAAAATTTCACCTCGAACTTTATCTTGTAATCGAAATGTCAGCCTCTGGGTAACTAACCTGAGTATTTAATAGTAAAAAGGTTGTTACTATGAGTTGACTGAAGTTTTTGAGCGTGGTGAGTGTTAGGTAGTGGGTGATTAATACCAGTCCTGTAAAGAGGAGGTTTCACTCTATCAGTATGGTCTTTACTGAGAGGCTTGCTATCAACAGCGCATCCGGATCAATACAAGGTATTAATAGGCATCCAGGGTACTAAGACCCACCTGGGATTGATTTGGTTATTTCCCAAAAGGGAATGGGCTAACAATACTTATTAAGCTTTAACAAAATTAGTTGAAGATTAACAGGTATTGTTGATGGGAATATTCAGCAAGGCTATGAATACTGCGGATAAGTTGAGTAAGAGTACTGAAGCTTAAGAACAATAAATGTAGACAAGATTTATGTTGGTTACGTGTACTGTATCAATATAAATGTTAACTGGTTTAACTGGTGTCTGAATATTCTGGGGATTAATCAGTGAAAGAGGCACGGATTATAAGTTCCAGAATACTGAAGGAGGGAAAGGATGAGCGCTCAGAATCAAGGGAGCTTTGGCCAGGAGAATGAGCACATCAATTGAGTGACTGATCATTATTTGTCATGATCTGTAAGTGACATCATAATTGTGTACTAGTTGATCCATTTACTAGTTGCTCTTGATGCGTGTACTTAACAGATCCTCTAATAATGTAGTCATAATTGTGATCAGTGCATGTATTGAATGTATTAATTCTATTGACACTTAATACTTACTATTTAATACATGTACATATTTATTTGTGATAATATTTGACCGTGAAAATACTGTAGAAGAGGGATAACTCGTGGTACAGGTATTTCACGGACAAAGGAGTGAAAGGTAAGTGATAATTACTTATGTAGAACAAAGGTACATATTTAATAGATGAGTAATTAACAGATAAGATAAATATAAGATAAATAAGATAAGTTAATAATAATGATAAGATAACAAGAGGTAAAGGTAATCAAAATTATGGATAAGTACTTATGTACATAAGTACAGGTGTTGCAGTTACATGGAACATGTACTCTGTGGCTGACACGAAATGAATGGTCACTCCGGAGGTGTGATCTTTCTCAGGCCCCTATTCCTGCGCCACTATCACCTGAAGTACGAGGCTTGATTTTATCATCGCAGTCCAAAGGAATGAATCTAAAAGAGATGCAAGTGCGTTTATACAAGGAGACCGGTGTCGAAGTATCTGTTCGTACTGTCCAACGCTACATGAAGAAGCTTGGTGTCAAATTACTCCAAAATGATCTTTTGGACGGCAAAGTCACCATCAATCGAGTCCTTGAAGCAATAACCAATGCGCGAGAAAATCTTCTCCAAAACAATGCTGGATATCGTAGGATGAGAATGATACTCATGAGGCATTATAATATCAGAGTTCCCCGGTTAGTAATTGTATCTTCATTTCATTCTTAACCTTTTTTATGAATTCATTATTGACATGTGTTTTTGTTTGGACCTAGACAAAATTTTTATTATGCCCTTAAACAAATAGATCCTGATGGAATGGCCTTGCGACTCCGTCAAGCTTGTAAAAGACATATCTATCGGACTCTTGGCTCCAATCACATTTGGGCTTGTGATGAGCATGATAAGTTGAAGCCATTTGGCATCACAATCTATGGATTCATTGATGCTTGGTCTCGAAAGATCTTAGGCATGTTTGTTCATGTTACCAACAACAAACAACCCCCGCCATATCGCTTGCTACTTTCTTCATCTTGCATCGAAGGCTGGTGGATTACCACTCAAGTTAACCAGTGACTATGGAACCGAAACAATCAACATGGCGAAGCTCCAAATGCAACCGTCTCATGCTTACACTGGCATTACTACCAACGGTGCAACGAGTTCAATACATGTATTTCTAGTGGGTGTGTATTGCACCAAAACGTATAGGCAATACATGTATTTGTATTGCAGCTGAAGGCAGCTGCAATACAGATGTATTTTTTATTTATGTATTGCACTCGGAGTACAATAAAAATAAATGTATTGCAGAGTCAGCTACAATACATCCCATGTATTTTGTATCTGCAGATCCCAGCTTCAACTTCATTACAGATTTAAAACCCCTTTTTTCACTTTTTTTTCCCTTTTTTTCACTTTTTTTCACTTTTTTTCACTTTTTTTTTCACTTTTTATTCACTTTTTATTCACTTTTTTTTCACTTTTTTTCACTTTTTTTTTCACTTTTTTTTCACTTTTTTTCACTTTTTTTTCACTTTTTTTCTTTTTTTTTTGTCTTTTTTTTGTCTTTTTTTTTCTCTTTTTTTGTCTTTTTTTGTCTTTTTTTTTGTCTTTTTTTGTCTTTTTTTTGTCTTTTTTCAACTTTTATTTTTTCATTTTGTAATTTTTTCCATTTTTTTTATTTTGGGCCTTAATTATAAAAAAACACTGAAAAAAAAGAGAAAAAAAGAGAAAAAAAAAGAGAAAAAAAAGAGAAAAAAAAGAGAAAAAAACAAAAGAGCACATTCTTCTTTGGAAGAAGTGTGAAGCAGCCCGACCGTCAGGCGCAACAGAGGAGCTCAAAGCACTCCTCTGTCAAGCCCAAGACAGTCAGAAAGTCTTACAGAAGTTAATCCCTTGCAAGGAATTAGAAGAATTCGTCAAGGGCTGGAACCCTTGGACGATCAAGAAAGAACTCTATCCAAGCGCGCCAAAGAAAAACGACGGGAAGAAGCGCTCCTCCTCCTCCAAAGAGGTGAAGCAGCTTTACAACGACCCAAACCGCTGGAAAAAGGTTATGAGGGGTTGCAACACCCTCGAGGCGGCATACCGCCACATGGCGGATTAGATACTAAGATTCTTACCGCTATCCTTGATAGCTTGGAACTTGTTAGTCGAAATCTCTCAGCGATTGATAGTAACGCTGAAGAGAATTTCAAAACCCTTGTAAATAGTCTAGATCTTGTTTCTCGCAATAACAAAAAGACCGCCACATCATTGTCCGTATAATTTGACAATGTTTTAAGAAATCCTTTGTCTATTAACCCAGAGATGACAAGGATTATCGCCGAGAACACAGCCAAGAGTGAAAAAGCTTGCTCCAAATTAGTTGTATCAGTTGATAAACTCAACAACGATTTAAGCACCACAGCGGACCACATAATATCCACCGTTAGAGAAGACGATATTAGTGAGAACGCAAAAGAAAAGACGAGTTAGATACAGTAAAGACTTACTGATTCAACAAAACATTAGGACTGAAGGATTGAGTAATCTCCTGAAAGAACAAATGTCTTTGCTCAAGAAGGACATGAAATCCGAGATACAATCTAGTGTTCAAGCTTCACTAGCTCAATACATCTTTCAGAATGATGAACCAAACTCCATGAACCAACCTAA